ATTAAATTTAAATATATATATATATTTATATATGAATCCAAAGGCTCCTTTGCCCGCCCACCAAACTCAGCCCACGCAGGCGACTCGGAACAAAAATGACTTAACCGGAGTGTAAACCCCTCCCCTAACCCTAAAAGTCTTTTTTTTTTACATTTTTCCCTTTTTTCCCCTTTCCCTCCCTCTCTCCTTCCCCGACGGCCCCGCCGCAGCGGCCGTGCCCAGGGCGCCCCCTGCGGGCCGCTCGTGGAGGCAGCAGCCCACGCGTGTCCGCGTCCCCTCTCTCATCCCCAATCTCACTGCTCTTCCCTCCTTCCCTGTCTCCTCTCCTTGTCCCTCCCAGCCCCGCGGCACATACAAGCTCTATATCCCCCCCCACACACACCCCTTCCCCTTTGATGTGCCTTATTTTTTCCCGTGGGATGGGCACCCGTGGATCTGGGGGGAGGAGGACACGCTCACCTGGTGGGTCTTCATTCCATACAAACTTTACCCAAAAGGGATGGAAAACTTCTCATTCTTCCCACTCTGGGATCACACAAAATGATGCAAAACTCCAAAATTCCCATTTTCCTGGTTCAATCCCATCGTGACTCAACCAGGGTGAATTTTCCCAAAATCCCCTGAATTCCCCCCAGCTTGGCTCCGACTGAAACAAACCATAAAATAAAACACCCACTAGAAAGTCACGAAGTGTTTGGTCTCAAGGCACGATGGAGATTTGCCGTGGGGCTTTGCTGTGGGACATTCCCAGAGGGAACAGGACTCAGGCACCAAAAATAGGGAGCGTGGGGTGGGCTTGGAGATCCAGACGTGAGGTGGGCGTCCGTACGCGACGTCAGGGGCGAGGGGAGCTGAGGAGGTGTGGTTGGAAGTTGGGAACAGTGGGGAATTTCCTTTCCCTCCCCGTTTCCAGGAAGGTGTGGTTGGAAGTTGGGAATAGTGGGGAATTTCCCTCCCCATTTCCAGGAAGGTGTGGTTGAAAGTTGGGAACAGTGGGGAATTTCCCTCCCCATTTCCAGGAAGGTGTGGTTGGAAGTTGGGAACAGTGGGGAATTTCCCTCCCCATTTCCAGGAAGGTGTGGTTGGAAGTTGGGAAAAGTGGGGAATTTCCCTCCCCATTTCCAGGAAGGTGTGGTTGGAAGTTGGGAACAGTGGGGAATTTCCTTTCCCTCCCCATTTCCAGGAAGGTGTGGTTGAAAGTTGGGAACAGTGGGGAATTTCCCTCCCCATTTCCAGGAAGGTGTGGTTGGAAGTTGGGAACAGTGGGGAATTTCCTTTCCCTCCCCGTTTCCACACTCCCTACCCCAGTGGTTCTGGGAGGCAGGGAAACCTCTGCTGGCATCTTGCACCCGTGTCACCTACGATAGCGTTGGGTGCTGGTGCAAAATACCCTCAAACATGTAAAAACTTGATTTATTTCCAGATATATATTAAAATAATGATTGTAATTAAGCAGTGGGGTAATTTGGTGAGCGCCGTGGCTGAGCTGCTGGCAGAGGACAGTTGTTCTTCCAAGGGGTGCATCTTAATTACACAGAAATTAATTTGGGGAGGATCTGGGACAACAAATCCTCGCTCCTCCTGGCACCTTTTGCCAAGTCACCATGGGAAATGAACCCCCAAATTTCTTCTGCTTTGGGGTTCTCCAGCCAGATTTGGAGTGGCGATGGGTATGGGAGGTGCTGGTGGATCTCTTGGACCATGGGGAGCTGGAGGAATCACAGAATATCATAGAATCATCGAATCCCAGAGTGGTTTGGGTTGGAAGGGACCTTAAAGCTCATCCAGTTCCAACCCCCCTGCCAGCAGCAGGGACACCTTCCACTAGACCAGGTTGCTCAAAGCCTCATCCAACCTGGCCTTCAACACTTCCAGGGAGGAGCAGCCACAGCTTCTCTGGCCAACCTGGGACACTGTCTCACCACCCTCACAGTGAAGAACTTCTTCCTAATATCTCATCTAAACCTCCCCTCTTTCAGCTTAAACCCATTTCCTCTTGTTCTGTCATTAACTGCCCTTATGAAAAGTCCCTCCCCAGCTTTCTTGTAGCCCCTATTAAGTCCCTGATAGAAATAAGGGGCTGTGTCAACCCCCACTTGTGGTCCAAGCTCTTTCTTGTTGGCTTCTACATCCAAAAAAAATAGATTTTGGGTTTATTTTACCAGCTCTATTAATGCCACTGGATATTACATCCTGATAGTAGCTTCCAGGACACACCTCTGGTCCCACTCCTGCTCATGCCACCCACGGGGGAGATGTCTCCAGAGGGATGTGATGCCCACGTTGGCTGATGTTAGTCACCTGCGGTGTGTCCTTGCCCTTGCTTTGCAGCGATCCTTTATAAGGAGGATTATTTATATCCACAGCACTCTTGGAACAGCTACTCATCATTTTATTGCTCTTTATAATCTATTTAAAGCACAATTAGAAAAAAAAGAGAAAATCTATACAAAGTTACAGCCAAAAACACATCTTAGGTACGTTATAAATCCCTGAAAACCAACCATGGATGATAACCAACGTTCCTTGGCTTGGCTGGTGGAAACTGCGTGACACCGAGGAATGAATGAGGGCTGGAGACCTCAGTTATCTTCTCTTAGACCTTCAAAGCACAACTCCTTCGGGTTCCAGCAGCAGGTAATCGTGCAGAGGTTTGGGCACGGGCAGCAGAGGGATGAGACAATGACATTTACTGCCAAACTTTTTCCGGATGGCGGAGCGACATAAATGTTGGAGACACCGGACTGTGCCCGCCAACCGGAAAAAGGATTCGTAGAAGATCTGGTGCTGCTGCAAAGAGAAAGTGGGAGAGAAAAACACATGAGCTTCAGTTGGGTTGATTTTTTTTCCCTGATTAAGCCAAACAAGTCAGAGTTTTGAGTTGAAGATCTAAGGGGAGGTGGTAGGAAACCCATGGGTGATGTTTGCCCATGGGTTGGGTCTGTGTGCTGACGTGGCTCCTAAAGGCTGGATGAGGAATTCTCCTGGGGATGCAGATGTGAAGAAGCCCAACCTCATCGCCAGCTCTGTGTGGGAGGATGATTTCATGCCCACCACCAGCAGCACCCCTGCAGAAAGCCCTAGAGCTGAAGTAGAAGTGACCCACTTGGTTCTAAGACGGGGAAACACAGCAGGAGGGCTCGGTGCAGCCTCAGCTTTCCCCTGGTTGGGAATAAAAATCCTTTCTCCCATCCCTTAGAACACACCTGTCCTGGTTTTATTCGGATGCAGTTAATTTTCTTCTTCAAAGAGCTTTATTTGCGTTCCAGCAGCCCACCAGCCTTGGCCTTGAATCCAAGCTAACCAAAGACCTGTGGCCACCTGAGACCATTCAAGAGCAAGCTGGCCATACCTTTTGCACATCCAAGTCTGAGTTTTTTAGAACCAAAATTAGTGGTGTGGGCTCCTGGTTGGCAGTGGCCCAGCTCCAGAGTCACTTCCAGATGTTGGGGTTGTGTTTTATGGTGGCTCAGAGGCAGGAATGGGGGTTTTGGTGTTGATGGAGCCAAGCTTCTGAGATGAATCAGGTGTGAGGTGGTGCTCCAAGGACTATTCCTTTTTTTTCCCCCCATCCCAAGTGAAGTTTGGGTGTGGAAAGACTACTCTCGGTGGGTAAAACCTCCTCCTTGGGTCTCAGCTGTCCCTGTCAAACCACCAGTGCTTGGAACATCTCACCTGGAACACTTCCTCTGGCACGGCCTCGACCCACTTCTCAGAGATGGGAATTTGGGAGTAGGAATTGAAAAGGACTTCGATGATCTCCGGCACAGCCGCGCAGGACTTCAGCACCTAGTCATGGGCAACGTGAGGGGATTCAGAGAGAGACACACAGATCCCAGAGGGGCAGAGCATCCCTGTGCTGCAGCCAGGACTCATCTCACCCCACCAAAATCCAGGCTGGGGTAGGCCCATGTTGGGATGAGGTGGATGTAGGGTTTGTCCTGGCTGAGGGCTGATGTGCTGAGCCTGTCTCCAACATCCCAAGGTGGGAAAAAGTCCTCCCTGCCAGCCTGGATCCATCCTCCCTTGACCCTGCCTGCTTTTCCCTGCTGGTGTTCCCATTTCCACCATTCCCAGCAGCACCACCAACCCCAATGCCATTGTCCCCTCTCCCTGCCCAGATTGGGACAATCTCCCAGATCCCAAACTTTTTATACTGTCCCGGGTTGGCCAGAGAAGCTGTGGCTGCTCCTCCCTGGAA